AAATCGTCAATCTTTAATTTTAAACCTATTTGGTTATGTCAAATTGCAAAAGTTTAAAGTCTCCTGGTGACTAAATTAACTATAGTTAACATATGAAGATAATTTTCCATTAATATATATTTATTAAACATGATAAACAAACAAACAAACAAACAGCCAAACTCTTGCTACTTAAGCTAATTAATTAAGTAGTTTGGCCAGAAGTAGGTGGTTAAGCCACCATCTTATGTTAAATTTACTAATTAGAAATAAATATATTTAATTTAGAATATTCTAGAAGAAAAGATTGGCCCAGAGAGGGACCCAAATCCACAACCCCTGCTTACCAGATACACACTGCTAGTTACGGTATCCTTCGATCTTTGATTCCAGAATATTTTAAATTTATTTAATTTATTTCTAATAATTAAATTTGACATGAGATGGCAGCTTAACAACCTACCTCTAGCTAAATTACTTAGTAATTAATTATTCTTATGTAGTCCAATAAAGAATTTGGTTGTTCATTTGATATTTAAATTATATATTAGGTTGGTTAAATACGTTAATACAAAGATAAACATTTATGTAATTTTTCCAATTATTAAGGGACATTCTTATTCTTACATTTTAATCAGCAGTTTATGAGAAAAAGATATCAATGCTTTAGTATGTTCGTTAAAAGCAAAATTAGAAGATACAACTCATAAATTATCTAGAAACTTTTTATATTTTCTGTCTTGCTGAATTAACTTATCTAGAGAGTATCTAAATCGCTGTAATATTATTTAACAGATTAGTTAAATCATTAAAACGTTTGTTAAATATAAAAATAAATCAATGATGATTAATAAAAAAACCAGAAATTTATAATCCACTTATAACATTATCAATTACAAGATATGTAAAAATTTAACTTAAGTAGCAAAATCTGGAAACAATAACTCAAGAATATAAATTAGATGTTATTAAAACTAGAAAAACTAAAACACTACTGAGGAGATCAAGATAAAAATACCCAAATAGGATGAGAAGAACCAACTATTGTTCTGCCATCAATCATTGTTTTATTAGAATGATAGATATTTATAACTGACACAATAGCAACTCAAAGCACAATCTACATTATACAATTTGTGATGATAAATAAGTAGCAGAAATTGGAATCCTCTGACCCATGGATATGAGTGCTCAACATTCCATACAGAAATAATGACATTTATTAGTTTCAACTTGAAAATACACACAAACCCTATATTTAGTATTTGCATTCTCACATCATATTTCGGATTTGTTTATGCTAATGTCACATGCTATCAAACATTCCATATTTGAATTATTTAATAATTGAATTCATTTGTTTTTCTTATACAATATATATTTTATAGACTTCTCTATTACTGATAGTGCCTATACAACCATTTTAAAGACATGTAAATTGTTTATTAGGAGGTATTATTTAATGTATTTTTTATATTAAGTTATTTTCAAAGCTGAAATGCTTTGAAAATATTTACATATTAATAAATAAGATTTCTTCAATTGATGAATATATTTTAATATAAATAAAACATACATATAAATACAAAATAAATAAAACATATGTTATCATATGTTTTATTTATTTTTAAATATTCATTGCTAAATTCAATAAAATTAACCTTTCCACTTACATTGAACTAACCTTTGAATGCCAAATAAAACATTGACTTTTTAATTGATGAAAAAAGATAAAACAGACTGGTTAACACTATTGGAATTTTATACAGGATATAACAAATGGAGAGCATATGAAATGTTTATCTCCATTACAGTCGACCCACCTATAATTACGGTCCCTATAATTACGATTCCTATAAAACTGCGAAAAAATTGTGACGGTATCCGTAAAAAAAAAGTAAAAAAATTCCTATAATTACGTAAAACATCATTGGGCAGCCGAACTACTTTCCTGCCATCTGTAACGCCACGCTACGGAGAGATTTCTATCGTCTGGACAGTATTATATAAATTATATATAAATTAGGTACTGTACATATAATTATATATTAATTATATATAAATTAGGTACTGTATATATAATTATATATTAACTTAATTTATTGTAACTTTATTATAATTATATGTATGCTTTCTGCCGCCTGGCAACACGCTACGGAGATTTTAGGCTAACTATCGTCTGTACAGTATGTAAATTAGGTACCGTAAGTCTAATACAGTACTGTAATTTTATACATTTCTTGTGAAAGAAACATTTCTTATTCAACGGCGATTAAAATTATTTATATTAATGATGTCTCCAAAGTTCAACGAAGTTTTCGCAGAAAAATAAGTTATCAGAAATCGGCCGTGGTTTGGTGTGCTGCTTCGCGAAGAAAACAAGCTTTAGCAATGGCCATGTCGAATGGTGCACACTCGGTAAGTAATCCTACAATTTTTTGTTTATAGCATAGTTTATACGGATTATTTCCAAAAAATATATACGTATTTTGGAAATGTTAAGTCGGATTAGTCTAGAATCGATTAATTTTATGGAAGAAAACCTTTCAATCAGCCGTAGTCCGTAAACTTGACACGTGTCGAACTGTGATTGGAAGGACTCGTAAGAAATCGGATTCCTAAAGAATGGAACGTATCTATGATCTTATAGGGGGGGTCGACTGTATTTATAGTTTACAAAGACAAACTTTAATTTAAAACATTTATAATGTCATTACATAAAAAATATTTTAAACACTGTATTCTGAGAAAACTATCAAGTACAAGGTGTGTTTTTTAAAGTAAGGTTCATTTTGAAGTAAGAAAAAATATAAAAATAGCCAAAAAGGATGTACATATTTCCATTATTTTTCTTCATAGCTACTATTGACTTCCACACATTTTTGACATTGTGTCAATTTCCTTATTCCATTGTCAAAGAAGTCTGCTGCCAATATCTTAAACCAGGGGTTGGCAACCTTTCAGCAGTGTTGTGCCAAATGTAAGTTACAGTGTTATTCCGAGTGCCGACATGATTCTACCAAGTTTATTATATATGTTATCAAAATTAGTCCAGTTATAACAGACTTCAAAAATGTATAATTTTGAAGTTAAGTTGTTAATTGAATTATGTTCTTAAATGTTGAAGCACTTGCATAACACATAGATGGAGACACGGAGTGTAAATGCATGCACTGTAATAGAAATATACAAACAAGAGATTCGTTTTTAAAGTACCATGGCCTTCGCTGAACTATGACTTTCATTTAGATGTGTAATTAATAATTAAAATATAATTTTTACTACATTTCTGTTCAATCACAGTGCCACTGAAAATCATCCCGCGTGCCATAGGTTTCCGACCCATTTTAAACCATTCAGTAATGTCAATTTTCAGTTCATCATCATTTTCAAATTTCTTCAATGAAAGCTTTTAACCTATAAAATCCTTTTTTCACTGCAAATATATTCATCTATTATCATAATCTTTTCTGATGCAATTAAAGGACATATTTGTATGCCAATATACTGAATAACTTCATATTGTATGCTTTGTATAATTCATCTTACTTTATTTAACTTTTTCTTTTGTTATTTTGTAACACTACTACTAAAACTGTAAACAAGTTGTTTTAAATGTAATAGCTTGTGTATGTAACTGTTCAATTTTCTAGTGGAACTGGGAAAATAATAATGATTTGAATATAAAAAATATAGTTTATATATAACCTGCAAGTTTAAAAAAATATTAAAATTGAAATAAAACATTTTCATAATCCATACCAGTGTATATACCTTTACGCATGCAGAGTAATATTGAAAACATTGCACTTACTGATATGTAATTTAAAAAGTACCATCACAAGCATTCTATTTTTTTTCCTCTTTCTTCTTCACTTTCAAATAATCATCTAGACATAATTATAAATTAAGAGGAAATGGAAAAAATAAAAAATTAAATTAACAATTTTTAAATCAATAAAATAAATTCCAATAATGTGAATTTGAGAAACAGCTTTTTCTCATTATGTACAACACATATAATAATATTGACAGAAAGCTTTTGAATGGTTCTCTGGAAAAAAGAGGAATTATGGGAAACTTACAAACTGCAAAGATACACATTCAACCACATATTTCAGCAATAATAACTTTACCAGAATAAAAAATCTATTTAATCCAATAGAAAATAAAAATGAATATCATTAATTAAACCACAAATTAATGCACAAAAATGAATGCAAGAAAACTAAACATGTGACATATTTATATATCTGGTGAAGTTGGAAAAAATAACTCAACAGCAAAGGATCTACAGCATGCAAAAAATGTCACATTTTATAAATACTTTGTTTTTATATTTTATAACTTTGGACAAAGAAAAAACCATTTAAGTATTTTGTAATAAATTGTAAAATCAGCTAATAAACTACGATATCATGTAAGGGGCTGTCCATAAATGATGTCCACACTGAAAGGGAGAAGGGGTTATGACAAGTTGGACAAGGAGGAGGAGTGGAGTTGAGCATCAGTGGACATCTGTTCATTTCATTAAATTTTATATACAGTTTATGCATTTTATTATGTTTATTTCAAAATGTCTGATATGTTTTGTTTCTACTTATGGTATCTATCATTCATAAAGCAATAAAAGTTTTAAGGGGAGTTGTTAAGTTTTGTTCAGCATCCAAAGATGGGTGGAGGTTATGGAAATGGGCAAATTGGGACAAGTGGGAGAGGGGAAGTAAAAATTTCAAGAAAAATCCAGACATAATTTACGGATAGCCCCTAACCCATCTTGCATTTGATTCGAAACCAATTTTTTTAAAATACAATATTTCATTATACAGTTTATGTAATTAGTAGCTCATTAAAAGATGATAAAAAAAAATATCAAAATTCTGTTCAACAAATATGTTAAATTCTTTATTTGAAAATACATATTATTACATAAACTAAACATTTTTTTCCATAGATATATAAGAAAAAAATTTAATATTTTCAATATTAATATCAAAACAAATTGAAAGTACCATACATACCGTTTTGCTGTGGCTGGACATCTACACATTACAACAGTGTCATTTTCAGTAACTGATGGAAATCTGATAAAAGAAATTTCTTTTGTTAGTCAATATACAATAAACAAATAGTAAAATCAAATAACAAAGCTTTAGAACTGAATAATTTCAATAACATAAAACATATTAAAAACTATTTAAAAATTAATTATTATAATTTATTGATATGATAAAATTTTCCATTTTCATTATTAAATTAAAATTAACCTGTTATCATTTGTATTTGAAGAATGTGTACTTCGGCTTTCGCTCCATAAGAAGAAATTGCATCTGTCGGGAGGCTGTTTTGGACATTTGTAAAATTTTCTTCCTAATAAAATATGATAAAATAAAAAAATTAAGATATTTCTTATTATCTAGAAATTAAATTCTATTGATTTTTTTCTTCTTTTGAAATAATTATTTGTTAGCACAGACAACATAAGTTAAAATCAATGATTGCATTTTTACTGATTTTTCTCCCTACTATGAGCGATTCCTCAAGGTTCTAATTTAAATATCTATCATAATTTGACAAAAAATAATAAAAAAACATTTACTATGTGTACAATGTCATTGAATCATAGTCATTTTACTATATCTTACTGTGAAATGAAATGTGGCCATGATTTAAATTTGTTCAAATTATATCTGCATTTGGAGTTGCATTTAATTCCAGATTTACTTTTAATAATGATATTTCTAAAGCCATTAACGGAATAATATTTCTGAGATATCCTTCAGAAATATTATTCCAAAGGATTTTTCTCTATTTTTTTTAGATCTGTTCAACATGCACTATTACAAGATTGTAATTTGGACTTCAGCATCCTCTACTCTTATTGATACAGTCAGCTGTGTTAAATAAAGTATAGTTTTTCTCTAAATAAGTTTAGTAATATGCCTTTTCATCCTTCTCCTGATGCCACACAAAATTGTCTTAAGCTTCCAAGTCTAGCTGAATAATAAAATGTAAATTCGAATAAACAGAAAGTGTTCTAATTCCAGTGTAGTAAGGATCGCTTTGCTAAACCATTTGTTTGTTTGCTAGCTTATTAATGGCTTGCCTGTACTAAGCCTTATGAAACATATGGAACATCAACACACACTTATATTAAAAGTATTTCAATAGCATCATCTGTACTCATGATATAAAAATTAGAGTACTAATGAAACACTCATCTCATTTAAAAACATGTTTATGTAGAGAGAGAGGAGAGAGAGAGAGAGAGAATCCATTTAAATTTAATTTGTTAATTTAATTAAAAATGCAATATTTCATAATCTTATAAAAGAAATATTATATTTTGTAATACCGTTTAAAAAAATAAAAAAGTGACTAATATAACTTAATTTATTAAATAAAATAAACTAATTCTTTTATTCCATATGTCCAAATATTAAGCATAATGTTTTAACAAATAAAAGCATCTTGAATGGTCTATTATTTTATAAATTTTGTATGTATATATATATATAAGTTAACCAAGAAAACCCAGCAACGAGTTGTTTAACTTTCTTGGAAACATTTTAAATTTTGGTGGCATGATCTGTTATGCTATTTTATTAAAAAAACTTTTTATATTTTTAATTATTATAAAATGGTTTGCCAAAAAGCTTAATTTTCAAGGTTGGGATGTGTTTTATGAAAAACTGTAAATGCTAGTAACAAGTAAAATTATCATTAAGTCAGACCCTACTTGAGATGTGACACACAATCCCCCTTTATCTTCCCACCCCATTGACCTATAACCACCAAAATTTAATAGCATCAATCCCTCTAATACACAAATCTCACTGCAAAATTTCAGAAATTTTTGACAAAAAGCACAGGAGTTATTAAGCTTAAGCTTCAAAGAGAGTGAACAAAATTAGTCTCCCCCCACACACACTAACATCCGTGCATACAGAAAAAACCAGTTCTTTTGCATTTCTCAATGTTTCAAGGTCCCATGTCCAAAAATGTAAATATCTTGGGGAGTTCATTTTTGACTGATCACCACACTTTCCCTCTGTTATATATAACAGAGCTGGGAAAGTAAAACAATAACTTAATAATGATTGCTTGCTGCCTTTATACTTTTACTACAAGACAATTTTAAATTTCACTGTTCATACTGTTAGTAATTCTTTCTAAATTCAAGTACTTTTTTTACAAATTTGGATATATTAACCTGAGACCTCATAAATTAAAATTATTCTGAAATTAGCTTTATTTGTTTAAATTATTCGAAGTAAAATAAAAGGATTGAAATAAAAACAATACATATACAAAATGAAATTTAAGTAATACAATGCATGTTAAATACATAATTTAATCTTAAATAAGGAATAAATAAATTTTCAATTAAACAAACATTAAATAAATAAATCAAAGAAAGTAAATTAGGATGCAAATTAAATGCAGAGAAAGTATGTAATTACTCTTCTAAACATATTCATATTATTATAACAGAATAATCTGAATATAGAATAATTTTATTCTGGAAAGTTAAATTTTAAGTGTTTACAAATGTATTAGCAATGCTGTCTTCAATTTTAAAAATCATCTGACAAGTACTTACATATTTTATAATGATAATAAACTATGTAACATGTTTACTGTTTATTTTTCTTTATATTTCATGTTTTGATGAATATAATATATATTTGATGAAATAATGAATATTTCATGGTTTGAAAACAATATTATTTATTAAATAATATTGTTTTCAAACCAAATTACATATGAAAAAGTGAAATATCTATCAAATATAGTTTTTCGGTCTATTTATAAAATTACTTTTATTACAATTCATGCTTATTTTAAATCCTTGACTATTAAAAAGTTAAATATTATTTTAATGCTTTACACTCATCAGTCAATTTTATGATACAGTAATACCTCGACTTATACTACCCCGACTTATGCGAACCTGGAGTTACATGATTTTCAAATCTCGTCGATTCATCTTTTGTTTGAGTGCCATGCAACTCTTGATTACTCACTCCCCCCACACTATTGTTCGGCTTACATGTTTGGACGTGTCGCATGGAATCGATACATAGCTACAATTTATTTTGTGTTATTTATTTCTGTTTGTTATATCTATGGAGACTTGAGAGAGACTATGTGATGATTTCTTGTAACCGTGAACGAATCAAAAGACGAGATTAACGAGATAAGATTAACAAGAACATTTATTAGCTTACATACATCCGACTTGAATTTTACACAAATTGTGAAATTATACCCCGACTTATGCGAATTCGACTTATGTGGTTATCGCTCAGTCCCACCTATCGCGTAAGTTTGGGGTATTACTGTATACTAAAAATGCATAAAAAAGCCAAAATTTGAAACTCTCAGATTCTTTTAAAATATATTTTTGATTTCCTTCATAAAACACAAATTAATTTTGTGTTTTATATGTTTGTTCGTTTAAACTTTGAATTTTAAATGAATTTATTCTAAATAATCATAATTAATATTATTCAAAATTTAAAAATTTATATTATACAGGTATTCCTTGTATAACATGGTAGTTACATTTCAAAATAGTGCTGTGTTATGTGAATGTGAAAATACAGATTTGCATAACACAGCACTATTTTGGAATGTAAGACCTAATGCAAAACATAGGGTTATGTTCTGAAAGTTAACAAAAGTGTAAATTTCTTTTTCGTTATTAAGAGAAATACATTTATTAAAGCAATCAATAATTTATTTCCAATCAATAATTAACTAACAATCTCAATTAAAAGTACTGTGTTAAGCATTAATATTAATTTTAGTTAAACTAGTGTATTTTCTTTTTACAAAGTATCGTAGTCATCTCAGCTTTTTTCTTAATCTTAATCGGAAGTATCAGCAACATTTTCATATTTTTTAATTTTTATCATAAAAAATTTTTATGGATGACGAAATAAAAATATGTTATTAATCAAAAATTTGTTCTAGCAAGTTGCATTTGTTCAATCAAGTACCAAGTGACTTTTTTTTCAGAATTTGTGTTTGAATATAGAATAGTTTGAGTACAGAGATACTACTGTATTTCATTCATAATTTTATGAATAATTAATTGCTTACCAACAGTTATAAAAAAAATTTAAATAAACTTTACTAAATACAAATTTAATTTTAAAAAGAAAACATGGTGACAGTCTTAAATGCTAAAGTCTGAAAGCAATGACAATGACACCCGGTTGATAGGAAAGTTGGTTCATTTTTTTCTTCCTTGTCCTACCAGTTTTCATTAAAGTAATCTGACAAAAAGCACAATAACTATTTAAAAATTTCAATATTCTAAATCCGTGGGCAAATTTGAAATGACAGGTGTTCTTACTTAAATAAAAAACATATTGAATAACAAAATTTACACTTAAAAATTGTAAGATTTTGTGCAAAGTAATTCCAAAACCATGTTGGAGTGAAACCAGAAGTCAAGTTTTATAAAGGCTATCCCTAATTTTTGAACTGTGTTAGAGAAAAACCGTGTTGTACAGGGATACATGTATATATATTTAAAAACTGACAACATAAAATTAAAGCACTGATTGATATAGAAAGTTTTTTTTTTTTTTTTAACTGTACAGAGGTTGTGACTAATCTCACAGATAAATTCAGAATAATTTTTTAAATATTTTTGTTCTGAAACAGCCAAAAATCTGGCAATTTTGAGTAGCTACCCTTAAGAGACTGGCAACATTAATTACCTAGCATTACTTTATCAGTTTTTTGTTAGGTAAAAACTGCATGTTTTTCTCAATGCTATCTTAAACCATATCTGAGAGATACCAAAATCCATTAGACCATTTTGTTATTTTTAGATTGTTTTTTTTTTTTTCATTTTCTGTTTGAAATGGAAAATATTGCATATTGAATTGACAATAAAAAGGATGATGAAGAATTACAATAGATGTTACTTGAATTAGATGATGAAAATTTGATGATTGAATCTGAAAATGATATAGACAATAACGACATAATGGAAGAACATGCATAAAATTCTGGTAATGAAAAAATTAATATGCTAACATATTACGTTAGCATAAATAGTCAATTATTGCAAGTTTTATTCCAATTTATTTTGGTACAATTTTTTATATTAAAATCTGTTAAAACTTACATATTTTTTCCCTTATAAGATGCACTGTTTTGCACTTAAAATTTATCTGTAAATAGAATGTGTCTTACAAGCCATATCCATGTTATACTGTAGAGGAATATTTTTTTTCCTAAAAAAACTGACATGAAAACTGTGATATGTACAAGGGTAAAAATTGCAGTAATATTTCTTCTCATACTTTAAGAAAATTTTATATACATATTTTTTAATTTAAACTATTGACAACCAATACACATTTTAAAGCAGTTTTTTTTTATTACTGTATCTAATAGATACACCACAAACTTTACAAGGTTAAATATTAGTTATAAACAATTACATCTTTTAACTAACTTCATTAATTATACAATAAATAAAATATAAAATGGTTATTTAACATTTTAAGTATATTTATTCTATTTATTATATATATTCAATAATTAAGATTGCAGAAAAGACACTGCTAATAACAATATAGATTTTTTGATAAATAAATAAAGCATTACTAATAAATAAGGAAAATAATAAATACCAAAATGAATAATCATACTATTAATAAATAATAAAAAAGCAAACTATTTAAATATCTTTAACTTTAATAGTTATAATTAACTTTCACTTTTAAATTACATTGTAATATCCTCCAAAAAATTTAATCATAATTTATTATTAAAAATATTTTATTTTCTGTATCACCAACATGTGATTAAGATATTATCCATTAAAGATGTTATCTTAAATCAAATATAAAAATTATTGAAAATGTAATAAGTTTATACTAAATTGAAATGGCAAGACTGCTTAAAATTGAAATTGAAGTACACGAAAACATTTATTTTTTCTTTATATAAATTGCAGAATATCAAAATAATACTATAAATAATATTTTACTTATAATTAACACTTCTAAATAATCCAAGTCTTTTTTAATGTGCCAGATTCTTTTTCTGATATAATTTTGGTTTTCACTTTACTAATATCAAAAAAATGATAAAACTTATTTTAAAATGGCATTTTTTTTCAAAGTACCATAAAATGTAAGGCACAATAAATTTTTTTAGACGTCAGAAACCCAAAAGAAAGTTAGGTAGAAAATTTAATGCTCCTCCCTGTATCAAAAATGCGGTTAAACAGTAATAAACACATCTTTTGAAAGCATTTTATTTTCTTGTTTACAATGCTTCATGACATCTACATTTATAAATGTATTCATTTATGACTCCATTATCAGGTTCAGAGGATGTGTGGATCAATACAGATTCAAAGTCAAAATTACTATCTGTATGATCAATGTTTTAACAACTTAGATCATGAACTGGCACCTAATACACAAGATAATGTTCTTGATGGTGAACTTTCTATCTTTGAACTTCATAAAGCTCTAATTCAATTAAGAACTAAATCAATTCTGAGTTTGGAATTGTATTTTGACAGAATATTTGAAGAATGGTTCTCTGTTTCCAAAAGAAATATTAAAAATTTGTAATAAAGTGTACTCTTCAGAGAAAATTCCTTAAAATTGGAAAAAATAGTTTCTGTATGATTCATAAGCAGTTTGACCAAAAAAAAAAAAAATATGTATAACTACCATCCAACTGCAATATAATGTATAGGAAATTGTTAATCTTATGTTGAAAAGTCATTTGATTAAATGGATCAGAAATTCATGATATTCTGGACAGAAACCAATTTGCATTCTTAAAAGGAAAAGGATGTATGGTAGCTATAATTGATAATCTTATTCAATTTGCTTTTCTTAAAAAAAAAAAAAAACAAGACAAAGACTTTTGGCTTTTTTTACCAATTTATCAAAGACCTTTGATCTGGTGCCAATTGACACCTCAATTAGAAAATGTTATGTTTAAAATTAAATAACAAATTCATTAAATTAATAGTTAAACTTTTCACAAACATGACACAAACAATTTTCATCTAGCTAACTCTGTTCTCAAGATTAAGGAAGAACAGGCAGACGATACTGGGAATCTAGTGGTCTACTATTTAAAAATTGCAGTCCAATCAATGTTTTTGTTAGCTATTGTCATCAAAATAAGATTAAAATTAATTAAAAGAATAATAATAGTGTTTCAAAAAGGAATAAAATTACAAAGATCTGCTAAATGGGACATAAAAGAAACTAAGGTTATGATAATAAATGAATAGAAATACCTGGAGTGATTATGTTCTATACTGATTCTTATACCAAACATTTTAAATTTCTCAAACATAAAATAAGGGAAATAACTTTTGAGTTACTAAGTTGGATCACTAAAGTTGAAATTTTCTTATCAAAAATTTATTTTCAGTTATTCAATGCTATTATAATGGGCAGTCTCTTATATGGGGCCCATTGTTCCGAAAGGACATTGAACTGATTCAAAACTAATTTATAAAGAAGGTTTTTAAAATAGAAAAATTGGTCCCAGGCTATATGTTTAGATTTAAATTTCAAAAACCATATCTTTCAATAAAAATTGTGAAACTTTTATTTAATTATTTTTTTAAATTGATGCAGGACTCATATTTGGCACCTTTCTCCTTTAGAAGAATTTTTTGTTAATAGATATAAAAAGGTCACTGAGAAATCAATTATTATATGTATGGAAGTATTTTACATATTTTTGAGGAATTGTTTCCTTAAGTGATTTTTCAATCTGCAAATATATTTGCTTCTCCTCTAAGAAATGTAGTAAGAAGATGGGAAATCAAGTGTGCTAATACTGATTTATTATCTTTGAAGACTTCTAAATAACATGACTGGTACAAAGACATCACAATGAGTAATAAACCTCATTATAAATCCTATAAACTAAGTTATCATTCTCTCTCATCACTTTTATAAACAATTAAATAAGCTGCAGTTGAGATATAAAGATCAGACTATTTTGTTTGTGAATCAACATTGTTCATTCTACAGTGATATGGAAAACTCAATATTGCACCTACTTGTTTACTGTAAAAATCTTAAATCTTATAGAGAAATACTGTTATTTTTACCTCTGATAATTTATCTAACAAAACTGTTACTTATTATACCAAACTGTCATTAAAAATGATCTGCTTATATGTTAATTTCATAAATTACATATTTATGCAATCATGTTACATTAAATCTTAGTTTTTCTATTAATTATTATTCTTTTGTTAAACTAGATGTTTACTGCTATTTTCATATTGAAAATATGTTATTTTGTTATTGTAATACCCCAATGATAAGGGTAATCCTAAATGGACAAATAAATGAAATGAAATAAAGAGCTGCATACACCTAAGTAAAAATTTAACTTATTTTATATAAACTATTAAAATTTTAAGTAAGAATACCTTCATTAGGCCCCGGTTTTCTAACAGTTAGAAGTACAGCACTCTCTCCACAATGACATACTACATCAATATCATCATCCAAACTTGGCTGTACAGCAATATTATGAGTTCTTACACACTGCTGACTTGATGATGCTATTGAATTTACAGTTCTAAAAAGAAGATAGGCAATATTTTAAATTAATAAAATGATATAATCAACAAATATAAAAAATAAATAAATAACTGTTATATAAAATTTTCTAATTTGAATCAAATAAATTGAAATAAAATTTATTTTTTGCATATATTCCAGTTTAAAAATTTAATTTTTTCATTTTTATAGATTTCATTTGTTTTTTTATTGCCATGTATGATAAAAACATATACAACAAATTAAATATTAAAAAAAATAGTATTATTGGATTGTATGGATTGATAGGATAAGGCAATGTAACATATGGGTAATTTGCCAAGGGGGGAGGCCTAATGGAAACACTTTCTATGAAGAACTGGTCTCTATTTAGATATTAAACATGTAAAACAAACCTGAAAAACTAATTTGATCAACTAATTGGTCAGGCACAAACAAAATTATTATTGATAAATAAATAAATTCTTAAAATAAAAATGGTTAAAGAAAAGTACAATCATTCAAATAATTCTTATTTACAATAATACTCTATTAATAATATGGTATAATATGTTTAAATAACCGATTGTAAAACTGATAAAACTTTTTCTATTAAAAATTTACCTCATCTTTTTTTACTGAACATTAAATTAATTGTAAAATTAATAACAAAAATATCAAAGTAATGTTTTTAATTTTCTCAAAGAATATGTTTTAGAATGCATTTTCTCAGAGGGTGTGTTTACATTCAATTTGCACAAGTATATCAAAATAATGTTTGATATAAAACTTATGTGTAATAAATTTTAATAAATGTGTAGTCTTATAATTTTCAAACATTTATTATAATCATACTAAAAGGAATACAAGTTAGAATATTGGATGGTAAAAAATTAATAAAAATTTAAATACATAAATAGTATTTCTTGTAATTTTCTTAGTATTAACTTTTCTTTATAATTCTCTGATTTAAAATCAATAATCAAGTTTTATTATTTATTTTTTTCTAAAGATAATTTCTGAAATTAGGCAAAGTTGGTGTGAATGCATGAAATGCACTTATCATTCTTGACTTATCATACATTACAAATTAATATACTAAATACATTCTATGCTGAACAAGGGTAATTCTGCCAAGACAGCAAAACTAAAAGATCTTATTGCCTCTAGCATAACAAACATTATAGAAAATGAATGAAAATAGCAGTAATGAAGATGTTAATACTGGGAACTCTCGAGATATATTTGTATCTCAATAGAAAAGGATTTTTATTTGTTGTTATTTTGACAACATTGTTCCTCATTTTATATATGATTGTTTCAGTCAAATAGAATTTAGCCATTTTGTTATTAATATAATTAACAAAATTTTGCCATTTAATTCCTTTCTTGACTCTATATATGAATTTTATTGATATAATTAGAAAATAAATTAAAAATTATGATACTTTTATGTTATACATCCATAAGCCACATCATGTGGCACATGCTAATATCACACCACATCACACTACATTATTTTGCAGTAGAGTCAAGAAAGCAATTGAGTGGTTTTTTTTGTTAGTTAATTTTCTAACACTGAATCATAGAATTAAAAAATCAGAAGCAAAATTTATTTCAAAATTAATCCAAAATGATTATTATAAAAAAAAATTTACAATTATCCTCTTCAGGCTGATTTGATTCAACCTGAAGAGGATAGTCGAAATTATCCAAAGTACTCGCAACTGTGAATGACATGTTTATTTTAACGCCACAAGACAAATTACATTACAAATTATAAAGTACATTACTTTTTAACATTATACTAGATAAACATTTAGCATAAAGTGTATTTAATTTTCTTATTACAATTCATTTATAAAAAAGTTTTGAATTTGTAATATGTATTTTTTTTACATGCTTTTTTATCATCATCATCAAATATGCTCATTTAATTACAATATATTTTTATAAATCATTCAAATGTTTGTTAGATTTTTGATTACTAAAAAGTAATACATTCAATCCAATAATTTTATAAAAAACAAACTCTGAAAGCTATAGTATCAGTAAGAATTTCTCCCCCACACAATTTTTGAAATTTACAAATATTTAAAATATTAATTAAAGAAAATTATGAAAATTATATAATGTTCAAAAATGTACCTTAACGGTTGTCTCCCAGAAGTTTGTGAAGCTGGAAGAATTGATGTCTGATTAAAACCACTATCATTTGAACTAACATTAGAGGCCATGGATATATTTCTTCCTGTGTTTAATGCTGAAAAATATGCTATTTTTAAGACATGTATTACTCTATAATTCTTAGTATTAATTAAAAAATTCAAATTTATTCGTTATCTAATTAATAAAATATTTTTAAAAAATTATAACATTAAACCTAAATAAATCAACTAATAATAATAATAATAATAATAATGTGAGGCTCTGGACAAGTGCAAACCCTCACTGAAAATTGCATTAAAATAATTAAAAAGAAAATAGAAGCTATAAATAATTCTTTTGTATGAAAATGCAACATGAACTTATAAACAATAGAATGATGTAAGCACTAAGATCAACCATCTCAGGTTGGGAATAAATTAAATTTTGATCTCTCCTGCAATCTAAGTTGAAATCTCATTACATATAGTAATGAGTGAGCAACCACTTAGAAAGCGAGATTGAGGAAAGGCAATGAATCAGAATGAGCAATTGAGAACAGAAATTAATAAAAATCCATAAATTCAAGGATGTGACAGCTTTTCCCAAAAGTTCCAAGTGTTGGACCAATTGTTGTGTGTGTTTCTCGTGCTTGTCTTCATCTCCCATCCTCGGATCAACATCTTCCCATCACCATAAGTTGATTGCATCGTCCTGGAGTCTTCAAGGGAACAGTTCCCTTGAAGACTCCAGGACGACGGGCAACCAGGGACATTCCTTTATTTGGGACTATCTTGGAAAAAAGAGGGAGATCCAGAGGCCACCGCCAAATTANTAGAAATACATACATCACACTACAGAAGGCCACTATATTGAATACATGCCACATTGTTAGGAAATTCCTGAATACTGACACTGACACTGACACTGACACAGACACACTTATTTAATTTTAGTTTTGTTTTGGTTGCTATGCCTTGACTCTGGTCCGGCATAGTACACAGCCACCGGTTTAACCGAGTATAACCCACTGAACCCAACACAATAATAATAATAATAATAATGTGAGGCTCTGGACAAGTGCAAACCCTCACTGAAAATTGCATTAAAATAATTAAAAAGAAAATAGAAGCTATAAATAATTCTTTTGTATGAAAATGCAACATGAACTTATAAACAATAGAATGATGTAAGCACTAAGATCAACCATCTCAGGTTGGGAATAAATTAAATTTTGATCTCTCCTGCAATCTAAGTTGAAATCTCATTACACATAGTAATGAGTGAGCAACCACTTAGAAAGCGAGATTGAGGAAAGGCAATGAATCAGAATGAGCAATTGAGAACAGAAATTAATAAAAATCCATAAATTCAAGGATGTGACAGCTTTTCCCAAAAGTTCCAAGTGTTGGACCAATTGTTGTGTGTGTTTCTCGTGCTTGTCTTCATCTCCCATCCTCGGATCAACATCTTCCCATCACCATAAGTTGATTGCATCGTCCTGGAGTCTTCAAGGGAACAGTTCCCTTGAAGACTCCAGGACGACGGGCAACCAGGGACATTCCTTTATTTGGGACTATCTTGGAAAAAAGAGGGAGATCCAGAGGCCACCGCCAAATTAGAACTTCCAATATCATGGATATCTTGTAAGCTCCCTTAGTGTCAAATAAACGGTTTCTTGTAAACATAAGAGTCTGTCTTACTGCCATATTCACCAACATGAATTAGAGTTAGGGTTAAATCACAAGTTATTGGTAAATTGGTATTCACCAACTCCAAATCTCCAGTCAAACACCAATAACTCTAACTCTAGAAAATTGGCAAGCATATGATAATCTCTGGGTTTAATGCATGCATAAAACAACCATTTTCAGAAAAAAAGATGACAGAAAATCTGAGATATGTAGATTATTTAGACTGTATAGAACAAAGTAGTAGGTGGATTATTTCTCCAAGAATAAATGATTTAGAACAATTGGATGATTATGACTTTCTGCATCAATATCATTTACCAAAAGAGAGAGTGAAAAACTTACTAGACCATACATATAAACAACTTACTAAACCTGATACATTGCAATATCACTAGTTTAACTGCTGTATAACATTGGGCTATAAATTAATAATAAATTTCACCCAAGAGAGAGGTGTTAGATGCCATCTTATAATTATATAATTATTATATTTAATACAATTTAATTTAATAATTTTTAAATTAAACTGTAAACTGGAAGAAAAGAATCAGCCCAGAGCAGGACTCGAACCCGCAACCCCTACCTGCTGTGTAAATGTGTTGCCAATTACGCTACTCAGACCTGTTTATATTTATATATATATATTAACCAACAATGGTTATATCATAATGTTAAATATACTGGAAGAGGAGATTGGACTGGAGTTCCAGGTAGCATAATTGGCAACACATTCAAACAGCAAGCGAGGTTTGTGGGTTTGAGTCCCAGGACTCTGGGCCGATTCTTTTTGCTACCCGAACCTCCAGTCCAATCTCCTCTTGCAGTAAATTTAACATTATGATATAACCATCATTGATTACTACAGTGACAACTGGGATGCATTCAGCTCCCTCGTCCTGTAAACTCCCACATAAGACACTCAGCCAGCAATCACATACCGGCAAGGTGCACACACACACACACACACACACACACACACAAACAGGAGGTCTGGGTAGCATAATTAACAACGCATTCAAATGGCAAGTGGGGGTGTGGGTTTGAATCCACTCCAGGCTGATTCTCTTCTCCCAGTTTAATCTAAAAATTATTTAATTAAATTATAATTTTAAATCTTCTGAAACCGTGTTGTCTTATTTCTTTGATTCACTAACACAAAGTGTGTTTCTATTTCAACACTTGGCGATATTCCATCTTTATTCAGTCGACTGAATAAAGATGGAATATCGCCAAGTGTTGAAATAGAAACACACTGTGTTAGTGAATCAAAAAAATCAAATAAATTATAATTATTAAATTTAATATGAGATAATGCCTACTGCCTTCCTCTTGGGTCAAATTTATTAGTAATTTATTATTATTTATCACCAATTTATATCCCAATGTTATACAGCAGTTGAAATAATGTTCTTACTAGGCTGAATTGGTCATAGTTTGTTTGTAATAACATTTTGCCAAGAACATATCATCACACTTTCAAGAACATTTTATGGTCAGTGAAGGTACTTATAGAAAAAATGTTTAAACTCAAAAAAATATGAACGTTTTGTTCCAATCTAAAATAAAAAATACCATGTTCCATTTCAAAAATCTTTTGGCCTGGATATCCATCCCATTTCTAGCCAGTATGAGAGTCAAAAATATCACCATCTAATGGGTATGCTCAATTTAGTTATCAAAATTTTTAAGATTTTTGTGAAACATGCTTCCCTTCATTTTAAAAGGGTTGTACAGGTGGTTGAGACACCAGTATCTACTTGCATTAGAACATAAGAATACAAATGTTACAACGCTTGCCATAAAATTTGCATTGATTTAGGAATAATCAGACTAATTGCGAGATAATACCATCCAAAAGTAAATAAATTAATAATAAAACATGCGATAAAGTTTTGTAAAGCATTGTGTTGTCTCAATACTTTGTCTTACTTTTTTTACAACTAATAATGTAAATATGTTGAAATATTTTTAACATAATGAAAGTATTTTTAACATAATGAAAGTATTTTTAATATAATCATTCATTTTTTAATCCAGTCAAATGTTTTTGTATTTTTGTTTGTAGAAAACTATTTCATATAACTGGTTAAAATGCTTTTTTTTTCTTTTTCTTTTTACTCTCTCTGCCCTGTGACAACTAGTAAAAGCTGACATTTTAACTACCTTGTCAGCAAGTTAAAATTCATTGCTAACATTAACAGTAATATTCATAACAATGTGTGGAAGATTAAAATAAATATTAAAAATAATTACAATTATTATTAAAATTTAATTGATAAAATCAATATCTACCACTATTAGGCATAATTCTTCTGATACTTAAGGCCTGTAGAAAGTTTTCATCACATCCTCCAATACATCCAATGTAGCTATTAAAAGAAAAACTTAAAATGTATTCTCATCTTTTTTAAAAAATTCAACAACAAAATATAAACAAAAAGTTGTATTCTTACTTATCTGGATAGAGGGGAGCTAAAGATCCCTTCTCAAATTTGAATTTAAGTTTTCTAATTTGACACTATTAAAAAATATTGTTATTAAAATTAAAAATTAATTATATTAAAAGAATGATTATTTCTATATAATTAATTTAATTTATTAATTTTTTTAAAAACAAACAGTCCTTAAAATTGAATAAAAACACATGCTATACATTGAAAGAATATATTTATTAAATAGTTTATAAAAAATAAATTATTTTAAAAATAATTAAAAGTTAATTTTCAAAGTTAAACATTTATTCTTCACTGAATTTAATCTACAGATATGACAAAATTAAATATTAGTATTGCAAGTCGTCACTTAATGTCATCGACAGGTTCTTGGAAACTGCAACATTAAGTGAAACAACACATAACAAAACTAATTTTACCACAGACTAAATAATATAAACAAGATGTAGTTCATTAATATTATCAATTTTATTATTTATGAAGAAAACTCAATAATGATAATTGTGAATGATTACAAATGTGCTTCTACCTTTTCTCAACAACATTAAGTGAAGATTTGCTGTACAGTAGGTCAGCGGTCTCCAACCTTCTTATTGCCGCGGACCGGTCATCGTTTGATATTTTATTGCGGCCCACTGAGGGGGGACGTTGATTGTTTATATTTTAGATTGATTTAATTTAATAATTTTAATTTCATTGTATTTAAACATGCCTTCAAAATAAAATATAGTTACACCAAAAAATGAATATAATGTGATTTAACATTTTAACTCACTAGAACGTTAAATCAATGAGAACCCTGAGCTTGTTTCTTTGCAACAAGACGGTTCCATCTGGAAGTAATAAGAGACAATGACACCCAAAGTGTGTTTCTTATGTCCAGTTTATTCCGTTGTTCCGTCGTCCATTAAAAGTCGCACAAACCCGAGAGAAATACACCATAATAAATAAAATGGAAATACTAGTAATTTAATGTTCCTTGGGCGGCCCGGTACCATTTGATCCACGGACCGGTACCAGTCCACGACCCGGGGGTTGGGGACCACTGCAGTAGGTGATCAGTTAACAAACAGATCAGATAATGAACACTTTCGCGAAAGATTTTTATGATCGGCCAACGAACACTTCACTGAACAAACATAAAAAGAAGTGACAGAAAATAACAAATACTGATTGATTTTCCCTTGTCTTCAGGTAACAATTCAAAACCTTTCGGAGCGCGGGAGACGTCAACATTGATGCTCAACCCAATACCGATCAGATAGTGTCTTCCCAAACTTTGAAACTATCCATTGTAATTCCAGCTTTTTGTTTACTTTTCTGACAATTTTTTTATAGTCTTTGAGAGACTGTCGGGCACTCCATAAGTTTTACGTCGGTTTTTATTTTCTAAATGTGAACGTTTAACTGTCCTATTGGGTATTTGTTAATGTTTTAACACCAAAATTTCAAATTACATTTAGGCCTCACATTTACATAATTTTTTCATGTGCTAGTTGATTTCTGTTCTCTGAATTTTTGTGAGAGCTTTTCTGAACTTTTTATTTCAAACAGAAATTGATAATATTATGGAGCATAAAAAGAGTGGAGTATCAAGAACCATGCTCACCATAGAAACCAAGCAAGAGATAATAGCTAAAGTAAACAGTGGGCAGAAGATGTGTGTTGTTGCTAGGCAATATGACTTGAACACTACAGTAGGCACAATCTTAGCTAAGAAAGATATAATCAAAATGACTCAAAGAGCTAAAGGAGTAATGAAAACCACATCTGAGAAACAAAGATGTTCCATCCATGAAAAAATGCAGAGATTGCTTTTAATTTGAATAAAAGAAAGGGAAATGAAAAAAGATGTAACTTAGTATGACTATCATTCAAGAGAAAGCTAGAGAAATTTTTGATGAACTGAAAAAACAAACCCACATTTGTCACATGAGGAGATAGAATTCAAAGCTACTACTGGATGGTTTTCAAAGTTTAGTAGGAGAACTGGCATTAAACATGTGGTAATTCATAGTGAGTTTGCTAGTGCAGATACAGAAGAAGCTGAGAAGTTCTGTCTCAAATTTGAAGAATTCACTAAAAAAGAAGGATATTGTCCACAACAAATTTTCAATTGTGATGAAACTGGTTTATTTTGGAAGTGCATGCCAAACTATACCTACATTACGAAAAAAGAGAAAAATATTCCTGGGCATAAACCCATGAAAGACCAACTGATGTTACTTTTGGGAGCTAATGCTAGCGGTGATATGAAGCTTATCCTGCTTCTTGACTATCACTCTGAGAACCCTAGACCATTCAAAAAAATTTCATACTTAAAGAAAAACTGCCAGTGATGTGGAGATCAAATAAAAGAGCATCGGTCACACAGGCTCTTTTCAAAGAATGGCTGTTTGAAGTTTGTGCTCCAAGCATCAAGGATTATCTTCAGACCAATGAATTGCCATTAAAAGCACTATTGCTATTGGACAATGCACCAGGACACCCAAAAGACCTTGAAGATAATTTACTGGAAGACTTTCCCTGGCTGACAGTTCAGTTTCTACCTCCGAATACCACTTCATTGATTCAACCAATGGATCAAGAGGTTATTGCAGGTTTCAAGAAATTGTACATTCAAGCACCGTTTTGTCAATGTTTTGAAGGATGCCAGTTCTCCTGAATGATGACATTAAAAATGTTTTGGAAAGAAAAATTTGATATTCTTGAAGCTATACAGTTCATTCAAAAGGCATGGTCAGAAGTCACTCAACAACAGTTAAATTCTGCTTAGCAAAAGCTGTGTCCCTCCTTCATTCAGGGAGAGTGAGATGATGTCCCTGAAATTATGGATGAAATTGTGACAACTGCTAGAGATCTGGAATTGGAGGTGAATAAAGATGACACTGAAGAGCTCATAATGGAATCTGAAACTGATCTGATGACAGAAGAACTCCAAGAATGCTTAAATGAAGAATACCAAGAAACTCAGCGAGACGTGTTTTCTTCTGAAAAAGAGGAAGATGAAAAAGGATCAATGCCAACATCTGCTATTAAAGAAAAAGTTAATTTTCAAAGTTAAACATTTATTCTTCACTGAATTTAATCTACAGATATGACAAAATTAAATATTAGTATTGCAAGTCGTCACTTAATGTCATCGACAGGTTCTTGGAAACTGCAACATTAAGTGAAACAACACATAACAAAACTAATTTTACCACAGACTAAATAATATAAACAAGATGTAGTTCATTAATATTATCAATTTTATTATTTATGAAGAAAACTCAATAATGATAATTGTGAATGATTACAAATGTGCTTCTACCTTTTCTCAACAACATTAAGTGAAGATTTGCTGTACAGTAGGTCAGCGGTCTCCAACCTTCTTATTGCCGCGGACCGGTCATCGTTTGATATTTTATTGCGGCCCACTGAGGGGGGACGTTGATTGTTTATATTTTAGATTGATTTAATTTAATAATTTTAATTTCATTGTATTTAAACATGCCTTCAAAATAAAATATAGTTACACCAAAAAATGAATATAATGTGATTTAACATTTTAACTCACTAGAACGTTAAATCAATGAGAACCCTGAGCTTGTTTCTTTGCAACAAGACGGTTCCATCTGGAAGTAATAAGAGACAATGACACCCAAAGTGTGTTTCTTATGTCCAGTTTATTCCGTTGTTCCGTCGTCCATTAAAAGTCGCACAAACCCGAGAGAAATACACCATAATAAATAAAATGGAAATACCAGTAATTTAATGTTCCTTGGGCGGCCCGGTACCATTTGATCCACGGACCGGTACCAGTCCACGACCCGGGGGTTGGGGACCACTGCAGTAGGTGATCAGTTAACAAACAGATCAGATAATGAACACTTTCGCGAAAGATTTTTATGATCGGCCAACGAACACTTCACTGAACAAACATAAAAAGAAGTGACAGAAAATAACAAATACTGATTGATTTTCCCTTGTCTTCAGGTAACAATTCAAAACCTTTCGGAGCGCGGGAGACGTCAACATTGATGCTCAACCCAATACCGATCAGATAGTGTCTTCCCAAACTTTGAAACTATCCATTGTAATTCCAGCTTTTTGTTTACTTTTCTGACAATTTTTTTATAGTCTTTGAGAGACTGTCGGGCACTCCATAAGTTTTACGTCGGTTTTTATTTTCTAAATGTGAACGTTTAACTGTCCTATTGGGTATTTGTTAATGTTTTAACACCAAAATTTCAAATTACATTTAGGCCTCACATTTACATAATTTTTTCATGTGCTAGTTGATTTCTGTTCTCTGAATTTTTGTGAGAGCTTTTCTGAACTTTTTATTTCAAACAGAAATTGATAATATTATGGAGCATAAAAAGAGCAGAGTATCAAGAACCATGCTCACCATAGAAACCAAGCAAGAGATAATAGCTAAAGTAAACAGTGGGCAGAAGATGTGTGTTGTTGCTAGGCAATATGACTTGAACACTACAGTAGGCACAATCTTAGCTAAGAAAGATATAATCAAAATGACTCAAAGAGCTAAAGGAGTAATGAAAACCACATCTGAGAAACAAAGATGTTCCATCCATGAAAAAATGCAGAGATTGCTTTTAATTTGAATAAAAGAAAGGGAAATGAAAAAAGATGTAACTTAGTATGACTATCATTCAAGAGAAAGCTAGAGAAATTTTTGATGAACTGAAAAAACAAACCCACATTTGTCACATGAGGAGATAGAATTCAAAGCTACTACTGGATGGTTTTCAAAGTTTAGTAGGAGAACTGGCATTAAACATGTGGTAATTCATAGTGAGTTTGCTAGTGCAGATACAGAAGAAGCTGAGAAGTTCTGTCTCAAATTTGAAGAATTCACTAAAAAAGAAGGATATTGTCCACAACAAATTTTCAATTGTGATGAAACTGGTTTATTTTGGAAGTGCATGCCAAACTATACCTACATTACGAAAAAAGAGAAAAATATTCCTGGGCATAAACCCATGAAAGACCAACTGATGTTACTTTTGGGAGCTAATGCTAGCGGTGATATGAAGCTTATCCTGCTTCTTGACTATCACTCTGAGAACCCTAGACCATTCAAAAAAATTTCATACTTAAAGAAAAACTGCCAGTGATGTGGAGATCAAATAAAAGAGCATCGGTCACACAGGCTCTTTTCAAAGAATGGCTGTTTGAAGTTTGTGCTCCAAGCATCAAGGATTATCTTCAGACCAATGAATTGCCATTAAAAGCACTATTGCTATTGGACAATGCACCAGGACACCCAAAAGACCTTGAAGATAATTTACTGGAAGACTTTCCCTGGCTGACAGTTCAGTTTCTACCTCCGAATACCACTTCATTGATTCAACCAATGGATCAAGAGGTTATTGCAGGTTTCAAGAAATTGTACATTCAAGCACCGTTTCGTCAATGTTTTGAAGGATGCCAGTTCTCCTGAATGATGACATTAAAAATGTTTTGGAAAGAAAAATTTGATATTCTTGAAGCTATACAGTTCATTCAAAAGGCATGGTCAGAAGTCACTCAACAACAGTTAAATTCTGCTTAGCAAAAGCTGTGTCCCTCCTTCATTCAGGGAGAGTGAGATGATGTCCCTGAAATTATGGATGAAATTGTGACAACTGCTAGAGATCTGGAATTGGAGGTGAATAAAGATGACACTGAAGAGCTCATAATGGAATCTGAAACTGATCTGATGACAGAAGAACTCCAAGAATGCTTAAATGAAGAATACCAAGAAACTCAGCGAGACGTGTTTTCTTCTGAAAAAGAGGAAGATGAAAAAGGATCAATGCCAACATCTGCTATTAAAGATCTTTTGAAGAACTGGGAGGATGTCAGAACAACGGTCTTAGAATGGCATCTAAACCAAGTTGAGGTTAACAGGCTTAGGAATCTCTATGACGACAATGCTATTAATTACTTCCGAAAAATCCTGAAGAAGAGAGAAAAGCAATCGACATTGGACAGATTCTTTAACCCCTACAAACGGAAAAAAACATGACTAATAAAAATGCAAGACTGTATATATGTATTTTTATTATTACATATAAATAAACGTAGTAAGAAAGTACATATTTTTTATTTTTTGGAGTCTCCAGAACAAATTAATCAAATTCCCATAAAAACCTATGGTAAATCGATAATCGGTTAACGAACAATTTGGATAACAAACAAAGTCTTGGAACGGATTATGTTCATTAACCAATCATCCACTGTATATTAAAAAATATAAATAAATTGTTGGTGTTTTTACTCTTAGTACACGATAGTTAAATCAAACAAAATAATTTAATTTTATTTATATTTTTTTATAAAAACTTCTTGTGACATTAGTCTTATGTAAGCATTACAACTTATATTTTTCTGTAAATTAAAACTGTTAAAAATTAGAGTAAAAAGACTCCTATTATTATTACTATAGTATCAAGTTCCTACTAACTGAACAACTGGTAATAGCTAGGGAAACGCTCTCCCATTTTCAACAAACATGCAATATTTTATGTTTCCAGAAAAACTAAATTGTCCTAACACTTTAACACAAAAATAATAACTACATCAATAAATAATTCCAATTAAAATTACTGAATGCAAATGACCAATCTATAAATGTATATAGGTATTTGAATATACTGCATGTGTATGTATATATATAGTGTGGACCATTTTAATCAATCCAATAGAATAACTGAAAAATACACATGCTATGAAAAAATCATTGAACCAAAAATGCTATACTTTGAGGTGGCCATAAGATGAGGCCATCGTTTCATAATATACAGTGCTACAATCAGTGAAAATGGAACCAACTTCATTTCCTTCAAGGAAAACTCCCATTTTTTATTGCATATTCTGATTCTACATCAAAATTAAACAAACTTTTATCTAAAACATTTTTTCAAAAGAAGCACTTATCAAATAGTTATGAACAATTGAAGTTTTATGCAGACACCACATAGTGCATGCATAAATCTACAGATATATATATATAAACACATGCACAAACACACACTTATATCTTTGCAAAGGCTTTCTTGTAATTTCTTTTGTTTTTAATCTATTCTAAACTCCACATTTCTTGTCTGTAATGATTATTTTTATATAAAAATAACATATAAGTTAAATAGATTTATTAATTTTTTCAAAAATTATTTAATTAATATTAATTAAATATTCTATTTTTATGACACATCATTAATTTGTTTGTAATTCTTGCAACATTTCATGTTATGAAAGAAAAGAACTCCAAGATAAAAGTTAATGCATTAAAAATAAACATACAAATTCAATTACTTTAAAGCTAATTTGCTCATTATCAGAAAAAGCAAACACAAAATTCTATTGCTATAGAAGCAATACATAGAAATAAAAAATAAATTAATAAATATATAATATTCAATATAAAATGCTAGAAAAACAAAATTTTTATTATAAACAATAAAATATTCATCTAACATCTGGTTCTTTTATGGGAGATAAAACATCTAATCAGACATGCACTATCCAATCCACTATAAATTAAACAGGAGGTTTCCCTTCCATTTTTCAAAATATTTGCCTATTAAATTACAACAACATCTGGCTAAAACAGTAATGGTACCTTAGTGTGGAAAATGAATGCCTCCATTTTTAATAACTTAAGAAATGATTTAAAAAAAAAGGATATTTACAAAAGAATAGGATCTACAAAGTTCCAATCAATAATAGAAGAGATGAGTTTAAATATATATGGCAACAGCTTGTAGAATACAAAGAAAAAAAAATGAAGAAACACCAGAGATATATATCTAGGGAAGTGTAATACCATACTAGCATGGAATATTTTGAATAAAGATCTAAATGTCATATGGAATGAAGTAAAAGCCATTAAAATTCTAAAATCCACAGACTAATACTTCACAACAGAATCTTTATTGATTTATGAATGAAGTTTAAAAGCTATAAATAATATTGTTATTTCTGAAGACTCCAATAGTTTAATGACACATTGGAAATAGATAATTTGAACTTTGCTAGCCAATCGCTGAGAAACATCATTAAAATAATAATTTCTAATATTTTAGTTTTCAGAATATATATTGATTTATAAATGTTTTAAATCTTCCTTTCTATCAGTTTTTAGTTATTCTTTCTCTATGAATGTTCTAAAAGAGTCTATACAAAAGAAAGAACAGTCTATTTTATTATGAGTGTATCTTCAATTTAGAGTGTAATTAGAGTGTACTTTATTTCTATATCACCATGCAGGTGGCAGCTTATTTAAACCATGCTATTGCGATAAATTTTATGAAATTTTAGATATTATATAACTCAAATGTTTATAATTATTCTAATTATAATATAGCCCAGGCCATTCCCAATGGAGATGCATTGCAGCCACCTGCGTATCCAAGTCTTCAGCCTTATCCTGGAATCCGTAAGTAAAATGAATATAAACACTTGAAAAGTACTTGTTTTTCAGACTATATTATTTTGTGTAGGATTTATGAAATAGTGATGATTTACATTTTTAAATTATGATGATATAGACTTGATTTGANAAAGTAACTCAAAAATAGTTGATTTTGTTAAAATTTAAATTTTAAAAAATTAATTTATCATTATTAAAATTATACAACAGAAAATGCAAATTATAAATTCAATTTTTTAATGTGCTAAGCATTTTAAAACAAAATTTCTCTGGGAATAAAATATTTTGAAATATTAATTGAATTAGGTATAAGAGTGAAATTTGTGGACATGTAATTCATCATAATTTAATTTAAGAAGATTAAAGAACACAAACATACGATTTACATCTATCAAAAACATTTATGTGCGCAAATTTCTACTTTGAAAACAAGTGTAGGAAACTTTTTCCTACAAAGTAGAAGCTACATTTCTTGTATTGTCATAGCAAAACCATGTTCATCAGAAGACTGAAAGATCAGTATTTAACTTAATCATTTATGTTTATTGTTTATATAATAGCCACTTCAATTAAATTAACAAAACACTTAAGATTTTTCTTTTACTTTAAAATTTCTAATAGCTAATAAAAAAAATTATAATCAATTAGATTTTATAATTAGCTTATTTCTATTAAGTAAATTAAATTTATTAAATATCCTTTACTTTTCTTACAAATATTTATAGAGACAAATTTAAAATATATATACAATTAAAATTATGTAATTTACATTTTATTGATACATAATTAATTAATGACATTTTATGATTCTATTTATTTTAAAGGAAGTTAAACTATAGAAAAATATCTCTTCACACAAAAATATTTGCTTTAACGGTAGTTTAAGAGACAAAGCAGAATACAAAAAATAAAGTTCTAGTATTTGAACTTATATATATCATAAGGAATGCTTAATCTTTTGGGTGTTTATAATCTCTTTGTTTCTTAAACTTTATTAAAGCTAATGTTTTTTTTTCTGTTTTTAAATATATGGAGGTTTTTTATATACCTCTTCACATAGAGAGTTGTCAACAGATACATTTTCAACATAATTTGGTAACCAAATGACTGCATTACACTGAGGATAAGACATACAGCTTAAATAAAATCTGAAAAATTATGATTGTAAATCAAGTTANATCGGAAATGCGTATTACTTTTTAAAATTTAGCTTTAAAATTATATTTTATTATAATTAGATCACAGTATATAATATAAAGCATTAGGTTTACGTCTCTTATGATCTATATAAAACAATAGATTACCATGTTAATTTATTTTATATACTAGAAAAACTAAGTTATAATTCTAATTCTAACGACAATTAAATAACAATTTTCGATATTAAATGAAAATTTAAACTTAAAATTTTACAATAATAACTCTTTATTATAACTAAAAGTGTGGTTATAATAAAATAAACTCGAAACTAATAGACTAATGAAAGTTATATTTTATGATATTTGGATCGGATGAAATTCTATATTATATATTTTCCTAATATTTAATTGACGACCTCATTTCACCCTATAGAAAATCCTGATAAGAGTGCTGTTCCACTATCCACAATTGAGATACATTACTACAGATAAACAACAGTTTTTGACACTATATGATAAATCTAGTCTAGTGTGTAATTAATTACATCAACTAGATCAGTTATGAAAATGGATCTACTACACTGACAATATTAACAATTGATAGTATGTATTATACATTAAATTTACTGTACAAAAATATATAGATATTAACACCTGTATGTACTGTACTACTGCTGTTAGCATTGTACAGTACACTGCATACTCCCGTTAGTATGCAATATACACAAATCGCTGTATGGTACTGTACAATAGAGCGCAAACCCATGACGAAACAAAACGAAAACGATGTAAACCAATCATGTAACATATTACTAAAGGATACAGTCAATGAAATTTCGTGTTACTCTAATTATGCCATCTTAGTTCATTCAGTATACCATTTCTTAAATTTCTTTATGTATTAAAATTTATAAAATGTACACCTTTTTAAATTAAACACTCCTAGTGTTGTAGAAAGCTATAAATAAAATAAAATATGTAATATGTAGGTAAATAAATAAGTAGATGAAAAATAATAATTAGGTACCTATTTTAATGCCTTATTAAACTAAAATATAGATATTTGTACTATAAATTTGCCAGACTCACAACGATAGATATTGATTCGATTTAATCACTCTAGTGTTGCCAAATACAATATTAGTAGTGATGTATAAAAGGGTTGACATTCTATATATAACTACTACTTGTTTGATTCGTTCCTGATCAAACAATTTTTCCTTTCTCCCTTTTTAGTTAGAACATGTTCTAACTGAAAATGGAGAAGGAAAAGAATTTGTCCAAAAGTCACCTTATGGTCTTCCTGTAAGCACAGTTTCCTTTACTTGGAGATGGGCTACTTCAGCAGGAGCATCTGTAGAATCCATCAGCTCCATATGCTGGTCTCAACAATCAGATAGTTGTCTGAATCTAGATGTAATCATGCACACAATACCTTTCAAGAGAACTCTAGCTGTCTTCCAACTCAGTTGAGAGACCTCAAAAAATTGTCCAGGGGATCTTGGTCTCTTCACTTTTAAGGGGATCATCTGGTCCAATCCAGAGCAGGGTCAGTAACTCGCATTCAGATCCACCTCAGATGGGATCCCTGTGTGATACGTCCTGCTATGTTGACCCCCCTGCGGAAAAACTGAACTGCCCAAGTGAAAGACAAAATCACTTTGTCTCTGCCAACCGTTAAGCCTATATGACATTAGTGTATGTAGTATCTACATATTTTCAAAAATCCCTAAAATATATCAAAAATTGCTAAATTCCTTTTCTGCTACTGTCCCAATTAAGCGATTAAATTATGTATTAATTTATTAGTTTGGTTTCTGTTCGAAATTTGGCCCAATAAAGCGGCTGCCCCAATTAACTGGTGGTCCAATGAAATGGAATTGACTGTATTTATATTAAACCTATAACATAGAAAACTTTTATTGCATATGGAATATTTAAAATTAATTAATTACTTAAAATGTTTGTGAAACTTCATAATCTGAAAATAATATTCTGATCTTTTTTAAATGGAGAAATAGAAATAAAGAACACAAATAAAGTATTAACAAAAAGCTAATATTTAAAAAAAATAATCATAAAATCAATATCTTTATTAACTTATAATTAATTATACTAGTCTTACTATTTTAAATAACAATTATAAAATTTGTGTAACACTCACCTTCTGAAATTTGGCATTGTTGTTCATCTAAATATTTTGACAAAGCCTCATCTATTTTAATGGCCTATAAAACATAATACAAAAAGATTACAAATTTAACGTAAATTACTGAATCAACTAATTTTCCAATTTAACTGTTTTTTTGCTTTTTATTATTTTTAAACTTAATCTTAATCAGAATACAAAAAAATTCCCATAGGTATGAATTCATTAGAAGTTCACAAAGTCAACAAGTCTAAAAATTCTGTGAACTGTTTAATTAATGAATTTATGACAATTAAATATTTTTAATATTTGATTTTAGTCTGTATATATTTCCAACTACCAAAATACATTTTTCATTTTAGTTGAAGTTAGACAGGCTACAATAAAATGTCAAAGTCGCTAATGTTCTAATGTTTTTAGTATGTTCCTGAATGTAAAAGATTAAGACCAAAAAAAAAATACATATATAGATATTTTTTAATATATATTAGAAAATATCTATTCTTGAAATATTTTAAATATTTATCAAACTTTAAGAAACTTTATAAGAAAAAATCCAAATTAAAAACTTAAAAATAAGAAAATACTAGTTATTGCTTCAGTAAAATTTGTATTTTTTCCATTAACTATTATCAAATTTTTGAGACTTAAATATAAAATATTATCTGCTTAAATAAAATAATGCAGCAAAATAATTAAAGTTAGTATACCATGCCTGGAGGTGTTTCTATGCACTAATAATAATAAAGGCATTATTATACAAGTCTGAATTCTAATCACAGTAAATTTACTGAAGAATTGAAATATTCAACGACATTAAGGAAAATATTTTAATTTAAAAAGCAGGTAGCAATTCTTTTTTCCCTTCATTATTCTATCTCTGAATAATGAAAAATTTATCAAAACTACTCATTATTAATTTTTGTTCAGTTTACTAGTAGCTTTAGATTGATTATGTTAATACCTCAAAACAGTCAGCCTTTCTTAAAGCTTTAATAAATTATAAAAATATTGAACTATACTTGTAAGTTAATTTTTGTGCTTAAGATTCATAAATGTATGATTATATATGAAAAATGCTTTGTAGTATAATAAATTTTAATTCTGTACACAATATATTTAAACTGTAATTTTACCTGTCTTACTGCTTGAATAAATACTTGTTGATATTTATTCAGTTGCTCTCTTAATACAACTGCAAAAGAAATCAATTAATATTTTTTCATTTTTATCATTATTTTAACATAAAATTTAACAAATCAAAATATAAACATTTTCAAAATATTTATATTGAAGTAATTAAATCTATCAAAATAAATTTAATATTCAACTTTTTATAAAACAAAAAATATTTTTATAAAATATTTTAATAGTTCAATCAAAAGTATTAGTTTCATATTTTGATTAAAATTATGTTTTAAGAACAAAGCTGTAATAAAAAATATTTATTTAATTAATTAATTTGTTTATTAAAATTTATTTTTGATTAGCATTGGATTATACTAAGGTGATAAGACAACACAACACAAAAACAACCTGCCAATGGGAATGACTCACTTTCTATGGGAAATTAATTTTTATTTAGATGTTAGAGACATTTAAAAAAATCTGAAAAACTCCACATGGCCATCTTGTCAATTTTGGATTTGCACCTGACTATCTACTAAATGACTACCAATGTCTTTTTGACAAAAATATTCTACACATGAATAAATAATTATTAGCAAATAAAATTTTTTTTTTTACAAAACTTTCTAACAGTAAGAAATAATGACTGAATAATAAAGCTATTCAAAATGTCATTAAAATAAACTCTTCTCATTTATATTAGACTAGCTTTTGCCCGCGGCTTCACTCGCGTTAAGAAGTATTATTATTAATTAGGTATAGTTTTTGCGGCTTTACTTTTGTTTAGCGTGTGTAAAAAATTAGGGCCTACAAAACTTCTTTGTACACAATCCAAAATCGTCAAATATAATCTGCTAGAAATATTTAGGTATAGTATGTACTATTAGATACGGCGGCCACTCATCATCGGGTATATGTAACTCAGTGAAAACACAACGATAGCGCGTTTTAAAATACTACTAACGCCATCTATTGTCAACATTTAGAACTAAAAATTATTTTGTTCGTCTTAATTTATTCGTTCCATTAGGTACTGATAGGTTCAAACTAATACATTTACATCCTCCATCATCCCTTATTTTATCCCCATGGGGGTTGAATTTATCAAAATCCTATTTAAGCGGACGTCTTCATCATAGTAGCTCCAATCTTTAATTTCAGTTCAATCAGTCGAAAATCTAAGAAGATTTATACAAACTTTCATCCCCTATTTTATCCCCTTAGGGGTGGAATTTATCAAAATCCTTTCTTAGGGGATGCCTACGTCATAGTAGCTTTATGCATGCAAAGTCTCAGCCCGATCGGTTTAAAATTGACAAAGTTTCATACAAACTTTCATCCCCTATTTTATCCCCTTGGGGGTAGAATTGATCAAAATCCTTTCTTAGCGGATGCCTACGTCATAACATCTACCTGCATGCCAAATTTCAGCCCGATCTGTCCAGTGGTTTGGGCTGTGCGTTGATAGATCACTATGTCAGTCACCTTTGAGTTATATATATTTAGATTACATATATAATTTAAACTATTAACTGAATAAAAATCAAACAAGCTTTTTTGATCACTTAATATAAAACCTAATATAAAATTTCATAATATAAATATATATTAATTTGTTTTGTTCATTTATTTCTATTTTTTAATGTTAAAAATTGTATTTAAGATTAAAGTATAATTACAGTCAACCCCTCTATAACACTGTTGATAATTCTATTTTATAAGAATTCCATGTTGTATGAGTCACTTATATTTTACAAATATGTGAGACGTTCACAGTCTGGCACATGTATTTATAAAATCTAAGTGACTCGTACAACATGGAATTCTTATAAAACGGAATTATCAACAGTGTTATAGGGGGTCAACTGTATTATATAATGAACATAAAGTGTTTAACAAGTAATTTGTTTGATCATTTTTTAGTAATATACTCTCAAAATAAAAAAAAATCTATAGAATGAGAAATTGAACAGTTGAAACTTATAAAATACTAAAGAATTCATGAAGAGTAAAAAATGTCTAGAACTCTGATATTGTTATTATGGTCAATAAACTGAAGTATTTAAATAAAATATGAAACATGATGATTTAATAATGGAAAAGCATTGTAATTAATACATGTACAATTTAACATACTAAACAGGATATTATCAATCTTTTATTTCAGTAAATATGTAGAAATAGAGAAAGCATTACTTACCATTAGGATCCTTTGTTCCTTCGCATATCCTATTTTAAAAATTCATTTTTATTTAAAATAACAACATTAAATATTGTTGCAATAAAAAGACAGAAGCCTTTACCTTTTCAGATCAGCCTCAAGTTCTGCTCGTAAGTGTGGCTTAGACATTTCAAAGCCCATATTATCATAACCTAAAGACAAATTAATTTATTTTAAAAATCTTTGAATATGAATTTTTAGCTAAACAGTGTATACTCAATAAAACATCAAACAGTATTTTATTTAAATTTAAATAAGCAGTTATATATTTTTACTGAATATTCTATATAATTAAAATAAAATATATTGATTATTTTAAGCAAATGAAAAACAATATTAAATGTTTCTACAGTATATGCTTCCGTGTGAATTTCTAATAACAAACAATTTGATTTGTGATATACAGAAGACTACTTTTATTTATTTGCTTTCAACTTAAATTTCTGTATATTGATTAATTTTAATCATATTTTATAAACATTTATTTTTTTTATTATGTGTGAATTGAGGAATTTAAAAAAATTAATAAAGTTATTCTTTTTTCGATGCTAACTGCCATTTCTATATTAATAATTTCTTTTGATTTCGGAATCAAAAGAAGTTATTCTTTTGTTAATTTCATTTATTGAACACAGACAATTAGTGAATAAAAAATTTTCTTAGGCTTTTAAATGAAATGAAAACTTTTACTTGAAACCTAGTCTATGATCAATAATAATAATTTTACAATTTTAGAAAAATACTAGTACAGTTGAAGCCAGTATAAATCAGAATTGCACAGTATGAAATTTTTTATATTTTAGCAGGTTTCTGTTTTAAAGACATTTTAGTGTTTTTTCATTTTTTATCATCTTTAAACTATACCAGATAAATGCCATACAGTTGTATTAATTTTTATAGTAAAACAGTAAGAAAAATTTTATTACTAGTTTTAATCCAATAAGATTTCAACTCAAGATGACAACATTCAGATGCAAGAATTGGAAACCATTCGATTCTAAAAAAGTTCTCATAAAACTTTTGCAATATATTCAAATACTGAAAGTTCTCAAACTCAAACCAAGAACTTTCATTATTTTTCATATTAAGTTTCCCTAACATTTCATCTATGAAGTGATAATGCTTCAAAACACTTTGAAACAGACTCAATTTAAGTGAGAGCTGGACTTCAATACAGAATTTGTCTATATAGTTAAAAAGATTATATAGCAAAATCTTGAATTATTAACACATCAATTATAAGTTTTCAAAATATGACATTGTCATATTAAGCTACAATAATATGTTAAACCACTTTTATTTATAATAATTGATGGCAGAATATTAAATAATTGTATTTAAATTAGAAAAATTGCTAAATGAGAAGACTTAATAATATAATACAGTGAGGTAAAATGTAAATTAATTTATTTCTGTTAAGTATCTTACCACCAACTTATTAAATGACTTGTGAAGCAATATGTAAAATAATTAAAATAANGTCAAAATAAGGTCATTGATGCTCATGCAGAAGCCTGTAGAAGGAATAACAAGAAATTTGTGATAAATATGAAGAGAATTGGACTTATCAGTTAGGCATTGTCATGTAATACAAGGGTATACAATGAGGAATTGTTAAGTTACAGATTAAACTTGGACAGTTTACTTTCTTTTGGTGCAAACCATATATTTTTAAGTGTTCAATAATCCAAAATTACATATATCAAAACACCAATATTCTTTATGAATAACTCCATATATTCTTTTCCTAAATTATTATTGTTATTTGAATAAAAATTGAATTTTACATATCCAGAGCAGCATTTCATATAAAACTTACCTCTATAGAAGAGGGCTGAAATGTTTCACCTAATGCATATTCTGGAATTATCTAAAAATAATTTGAAAATTATTAATTTTCTAAATTTTCAATATCTAAGACTAAAATTATTCTTAGGTGCGACACACATTAAATCAAAATTTATAAAACTAAAACAGTATTAATAATAAACCTGATTTAACTTTCAAATTCAAACTCACCCTCCACAAGTCCCATTCCTAATTGCCCTGGAACAAACTTATCTTCATTTAAACCAACGTAAAGTCTGGATTTTATTGTTTCAATATGGTCTGCATGTGTAGCATCAGTACCTTTTAAATAAGCAAAATATGTTAGAATACTTTGAAATACACAGAAATCTAGTCTAAAAAGAAATGTTTAACAAATGAAAGATGTGACTGTTGCAATCTGTATTAAAAGAAGCAGATCATCAACATAAGTAATCTTTCATACAATAATTTTAATTCTGCTGTTGCATCCATCAATATCAAAGTGAATGTAATAAATGGAGAAATAGAAAAATAATATCAAAATTTGATCAAAAAGTCATAGGATTTTACTATGGGACAATGTTTGTACACGTCTGCTGCAAAATTTCATGAATTTAAATGAAAAAGTTCCATATTTCCCACATAATTTACAAACTAATTTGTTGTGATTTCATTTCTTTGATACATAAGAAATTCTTCTTAATCATAGTAAGAAAAATAATTTTATAATGCTACTGTAAACACATCTATAAAATAGACAGGACAAAGCATTTCTTAAAATTTTTTTATTTTAATTGCCAATGAAAAATTGCCAATTAAATATATTTTAAAAATTTAAAAAGTGAATAACAACGTTTTTAAAAACACAGCATAAAACTTTTGCTAAACTAAGATTAAACCTGTGAAGAGTTATAAACAAGCTCAAATATGTCAGTTTAGGGAAAGTTCTATGCTAGATATCTAAAAAGGTTGTGTTATTCATGCTTTAAATTCTGTAAAATAAAGATATATTGAAAAATAAAGTACAAAATATCAAGTAAAATTTTTTGAATAGCAACACTCATTTTTGAGGAAAAAAAAATACTTCGGGTCTGACAGACCCATGCGACTCACAATGGGGTAAAAAAACACCAATTAATTTGTCACCGTTGCCGATAGTGAGTGTCGCAATAACTTTATCACATTTAAGTTGTCGCATGGTGTCTATTAAACCCTATAATATCATTATTTATTTATATTTTTCTATTATTATTTTTTTTTGTTTGTTATAATATTCTTTTGAAAAGTAAGTAATGTCTTATTAATTTTTAATTATTTTAATTGTTATTTTATTTTTATCATATAAATTTTTATCTATTGCTTTTATAATTAATTTACGATTATTCCTCGTATATTAGGTGATGCAGGTTGGCTTTTTTTCACATTTACTAACCAATCAGCAACTTGTGAAAACAGTCTAGCTATAAACTGCCGGGAAATATCCTGCCCCCTCAGCAATGATATTGGAAATCAAATGTAAACAATTGGTGTAAATTCGCTTGTCTTATCACAGTCAATATCCCACCAGAAAGTTCTGAAAAGATGCTTCCTCGTTCAAACGGAATAAAAAAACTAGAAGTTAGCTAATAAGACCCTAAACATTATGGAATTAGATATAAAGAAAAAAATTACAATTACACGACAATCATATCGCATACCTATCATTATTCTATAATCTAATAATCTAAATTAATCTGATAACAATACTATTAATTATAATCTCCATTTTTTATCTATTTATTTTCCATCACTATACAACAATACAAACCTAAAAGGGCAGCCCAAGCTACAATCCAAGTAATTATAAATGAAATCATTGCATTTGATCGTGTCATGACTTTTTTGTCGCACGATACACAACATGTGAGAAAAAAAACACAAAAATAAATTATGATAATACAAATTGTGAAAATTATAAAATTTTTAATAATTGCATTTTTATATCATTATCATTCAGGAATTGACATAGATGCATTTTTTAAGTATTATTATGTGAAGATTTTATATTATGAAGAAAACAAATTACATAATCGAGAACATGTTGTAAATTGCCGAATTTTTGATGGTCCACCCATTACTTTTTTTATTGCTTCATTTCATGCAGAGAAAACATTTGTCTAAACTATCAGCAAAGAATTTTGACAGATTCTATAATATTCTGAATGATGTCAAATTTCACATAAAAATTAAAAATAAAATTCATGTGTAAAAATCTAACAAAACTATCTATTAAATCATAAAGACAACATTCTTATGAGTAAAATAAAATAAAAACTTTGTCAATTAGTAGATTTACAACCCAGAAAAACGCATTTGTTAATAGAGCCATAAAACAATTAACATCTATTGACTCTTGCAGTAGGGGGTAACGCGAGGTCTATTAAAAATTCTTTCAGCAGTAGTAATAAACTTCTACTAACTTCATACGAATGAGTCATCTTTCTTCCCCATTTACAAACAACCCCTATGACAATAATCGGTGAAACATGAAATAACTTACAGCAAGTTAGAATTTGATATGTTTATTTTTTCTTTTTTCATCAAATTATGTAAAAATAAATATTAAAAAAGCAATTTTCTCAATATACAAGTAATTTATACCACTAGATAGAAAACAAAGCACAGAATTCAACAAAAAAATTGTTATTTCTTTATGAGATAGATAAAATTGAATAATTTTATATTAAAAACACTGGGTCTGAGAGACCCATCAACTCAAGTAAGGGAACCATTTCTAGAGACTCACATATGGTTAAGTAATGAAAGCCATACAAATAAGTGTTTTTTAAAATCCTTTTTTAAAAAACACTTGTTTGTATGGTACACTTGTATGTAACACTTGTTAAAGTCATCTGCTATCAGTCCCTAACTGGAATTAAAAAGAATTTTAAAAAAGACTCAACTTGTTTGTATTGGCTTCATTACTTAATTTCTTAATGTGTAAATAATCCTGGATTTTTGTGAAATTATAAAATATCAATTTAAAAAATACATGGTAAAAAGCTTTTCATAAATAAAAATAAATCTTATATTAAATAATGATACTTACCAATCCCATGTTTCTCCATCAAAGCAATTAAATCAGCTTCTGTCAATAAAGGAGGAGGACTAGTTTCACCATCTACCATCTAATTTGAAATATAAAGTGAATATCATAAAAATAATTATTGCTACTATATTGTTCTATATTGATAAAAATTCTTAAATTATGAACTAGCTAATGCAAAACAAAAACCATTTGCATTTATTATTAAAATCTCTATTAAAAAATGATTTATAGAATAATTTAACAACTAAAAATTGCATTTTGTACTGTAATATTGCCATATATGTAATTTTGAAAAAATTTTACAGTTAAAACATTAGAAAAACTAAATTTCATTAACTAATCACAAAAATCTACAAAAAAATCTAATACTAATATTAAAAAATAACAACTTAAGCTAAATTCCATTTAGCAATTAATCAAAACAAGTAAATGAAACCACTCACAACATTCTCTGACAAAATATTCATTATATTTTTATGTCCAAATCAGAAATTTTTCAAAGATTCTTAATTGTCTCATACTCAATACAATTCCAAAATCTTTGATTCAACACAAATCTCTTTCAGCTAAATCATTATGAAAAAATCCATGATTTGATCTTCAATTTTATCATGTCATTACTTCTAATTTCTGGATTTAAGAATCTTAACATTGCTATCTTATTAAAATTATTTATCTAAGTCATGTCAAAATAAGGTCATTGATGCTCATGCAGAAGCCTGTAGAAGGAATAACAAGAAATTTGTGATAAATATGAAGAGAATTGGACTTATCAGTTAGGCATTGTCATGTAATACAAGGGTATACAATGAGGAATTGTTAAGTTACAGATTAAACTTGGACAGTTTACTTTCTTTTGGTGCAAACCATATATTTTTAAGTGTTCAATAATCCAAAATTACATATATCAAAACACCAATATTCTTTATGAATAACTCCATATATTCTTTTCCTAAATTATTATTGTTATTTGAATAAAAATTGAATTTTACATATCCAGAGCAGCATTTCATATAAAACTTACCTCTATAGAAGAGGGCTGAAATGTTTCACCTAATGCATATTCTGGAATTATCTAAAAATAATTTGAAAATTATTAATTTTCTAAATTTTCAATAAACAAAATTTTAACAAATAAATACCTTTGAATTCCATTTGTCATAAGGATAAACTTCAAGATAATTTTTTGCAATTATTATTAATCCATTTAAACCAAACTAAAAAAAATAAATAAATTACATAAGAGTTTAAAATATTGTATATTTCTTAATCATAATATTATAGTTAACTGTAAAAACCAATCTTGAAAAATATAATCCTTGTATGACATTATATTTCAATTAAAAATAAATTCAAATCAAAGAGAGTAACTTAGAATCAAACATAAAAAATATCCTTTTTGTTAGTGGAACACAAATATTCTCTAGTGATATATGAAAAATCATGATTAACAGAATGTAATTAATCAGAATTGTAAAGAAGCTCTTAACTTTATCTTTAGAATAATTAATTATAAATACAGTAAGACCCTGCTTAACCTTGCCTCGATTAATACTGATTTGATATAACGTGGTCTGCTTGAAGCCTAAAAAAATGCTCAACATTTACAATGATTCAAATTATTGCAGCATTTCATTGATTCATATATAACATGATTATTCCCAAACATGAACCAATCAGCAAAAGGTGGCAATTGTCATAGTGCTGTACTTTCTTTAAATCTATGTTTGTTTGTTGCAATTTTGGAAAAAATATAACATAGGCAATATCAACTTGGCTTGGCAAAAATTAACTGATAAATGCATGAATGAAGTGTAGAAGAAGGTATGGCTGGAGGTATCCAAGAATTCTCAATGAGAAGAGCCTATTGCTGTATCATTAGGTTGACCAAATTGTTAACCTAATCGATTCAGCAGGACTAGGAGATGGAGACAAATAGGATATTGAGGAGTTACTGTAGGTTTCTGCTGAGAGCCTTACCAACGATGACCTTCAAGAACATGCAGAACTACGAATTCATATAAAACTGGAAAATAGTGATTCTGAAAACGAAGAACCCAAAGAATTTCTCTANGACAATTCTGAAAACCTGTAATGTGTTTTCTCTGCAAATGCCATTGTATCTCATACATTTTTCAGTTTATGAGATACTGTTTTGTTTATAGAACATCCTTGACCAGGCTTTCATAGAGAGTCCTTCAAACTTCAAGATAGCACGGGTTAATGTGAAACACTGGAAATAAATGATGGGAGGGTTAAGATGCTTCTCAGAAGGGCCAGAAAAAATTTTTGTATTTTTCAGGCATAAAATAAACCCATGAAATATTTAAATTGAAGGTCATCTTACAGAGGCAGATCACTTTAGGCTATCTTACAGAGACATGCATTCAAGGTCTTAGTGACTTGCAAACCACATCATTACATCATGCTTAGCTGAAAAACATCCATAGTGTCCATTTTCTTCGTTACATTATCCAACACCTTTCAACATTAAAATTCCAAACAAATATCCATAAAAGCTCTTATAGCTGAAACTATTGTACATCGTTTCCATTCTCTCAGTTAGAATAAAGAGGAAGATTCTCTGACATCTAAACGACAGTAAAATACTCAAAGCCGGCAGTCATTAACCAGTGACTCTTTTATCGGTCCCAAGGTATACAGTTTACCTGACTAATACTTACCTCTAGCTACCTCTTATGGTGATTGTAAGAGACCATGAGATCATTTTTGATGACATTAGGGCACTAACAATGACATCAATACAGAAAATTACTGTATTACACATGCAATCATGTGACAGTAAAGAAAAATTGTACACAATGGCATGTGTAAGACAGTGATTTTTAGTAGCAGTTTTCTGAGATCCTGTGATAAGTGGAAAAAAATTTTTTTGACTGAAATTTTTAGTCAGATAGATATCATATTTCATGAGAATATCATTGAAGTAGGGCTAAGTAACTCAATTTGGTGAAAAATGCCCACAAAAAAAAACTAGTAGGTGCAAAAAAATCACTGCTACACAGCATGTGAATTTTTTTTGGTACAGTTTAATACTTCTATAACCATATAATAACCATACTGGTATTTCTCTTATTATTCACATTTACATTTATGTTGATGTTGAAATTAAAGTTATTCTAATGTTAATCAAAAAGGTACATTAGGTTATTTTACCTGTTTAATAATATAATCAGTTCTTTACATTATCAGTTTATAATTCTATCAAATTATTAAAATTCATATGTATTATTACTATATTAATGATCCTTAGTCAGAATTGATTCATCTTTATATAATAATCCAATGATCGCCTAAATATTCGAGCTATAATATGGCTATAAACAAATAATTAATACAAACAAATTTGGTACTAGAGGTAAGTGCTAAGCACCATCTCATATCTAAATTAATAATTTAATAAATAATTTAAAACCTTCTGGAAGAAAATAACTGACCTGGGGCGGGGCTTGAACCCACAGCCTCCACTTGTCATGTGGTACACTATCAATTGCGCAACCTGGACCCAAGCCAGCCTTTGCTTCCAGAAGTATTTAAATTTCGATATAACCTTCCACAGTTACTAACATCACTGGCTGGCTGGCTGGCTAGCTGGAGATGACTTTTATGTCAATGGCCAATGAACCTATCATTGGTCGTTGTTCATTGGCCAATGACATAGTAGTTGTCTCCAGCCAGTGCCGTTAGTAACCGTGGAAGGTTATACAGTAGAACCTCGAAAACTCGACCTAATGTGGACCGAAGGGTGGCCAAGTTTGTGAAAATGCCGAGTTATCGGGAATGGGGTTAAAAAAAATAAGTACGAGTATTTCCTCAGAAAATACTGTACTGTACTTGTACAGTATTTACTTGTACAGAATATAACAGAGAATAAACTGCCCAAATACCCTTAAACAAAGGAAAAGTACGTCCTTTATGAAGGCATAGAGCCACTACATGAAAATGAAAATTAATGAATACACTGTGTACAGTAATTTACCTGATAAGACAGACCTCA